GCAGCTCAATAAAAGCTGACAGGGTAATGCCCAAGCCCTCAGACAGCGTCAAGACTGCAGCTTCGCTGAGGCTACAACGATAGCCAGGGAGAGCCGCTAACAGAGCCCTGTGCCAGCAATGCTCAGATGCCCATGCGTCTGCAGAGGCATCCTTGCCATGGCTGATGCTGCCAGGCTACCAAGGCTCAGCAGCAGGAGCCTAGGGCTGGCCCCTCTGCAGCCCTTCTGCTCCGTGGAATCACCCACCAATTCAGCAGCAAAAACACTGACCCTGGCTCCACGGCCACCCTGCTTGCTGTGTGACATTGGACAAATAAGGCCTAAGGGTCCCAGCAGGTTACAGAAGGTTGGACTGGAAGATTTCCTGGGTCCTCCTAATCCAAGGGAACATTCTTTTTCAACAGGGAGCACCTGAAGTTTGCTTTTTGGCACAAACCCAGAGCCTAACACCCACACCCCTCCCCAGAGGCCACCCCAACCCAAGTACCCATGCCTTTCCCTGCTTCTCTCTTCATCCCATAGGACTGCGCCCTGACACTGCCAGCCCCCGGAAACCATTCTCTCAAAACGCAGAGCCCGTTCCTCCTCTGCCCACACGCTTCGGTAGCTTCGTGTCACTCGGTCAGGCCCGAATGCTGATGTGACTCCAAGAACATGACAGATGGCTCCCCACTGACCTCCCCCCCTGCTCCTCTCCTTCACTCCCGTCCCTGGCCATCCCGGGGAGGCTCCTGCTCCAGGGCTTTGGCACCAGCACGCTCCTCCTGGTTCACTCCCTCACCTTCTCTGGGGCTTTGCTCAACTGCCCCAGCCTAGGAAGACTTCTCTCCTGCTTTATACGGCTTCTGTTATTGCCTGGCCTCCCTCCCTGCAGAGTCCACAGTGACGGACGCAGGCAATCACAGATCAGGAATATTTGGGGGGAAAGTTACATCCATGTTAAACATGCATTTTTTTTTTCTTCTTTATCCCCTAAATGATACAACTATTTATATTAAAGTGATCTAGGGCTGATTTAAAGGCCAGCAGAGGATGTGCGTGGGTCATGTGGAAATGCTCCCTGCTCTACGAGGGGCACGGAAACACGCAGGGCCCTTGGTACCCCAGGGGATTTGCGGCCAGTTCCCGGCGGATACAGAGGGATGTCTGTGTTCGCATGTTTTACCGCCCGTCCCTTTATTATTTTGTCTGCCTCCACTAGCAGGGCCAGAATGTTTACTGTCTCAGGCATCTTTATACTCAGCTCTTAGAATAGCAGGCACTCACTAAATACACATTGGATGAACCAATGTTGCTCTGCCGTGAGCTCGGCTGTGCTGCTGAAACAACTCTGCAGCTGCACGGCACCCTGGTTGGAACGGCGGCGTCTTGGGGACCCCTCTGAGTGCCCAAGCCCTGGACACTGTCTCTGGGAGTAAAAGCCGCCGACGGAGGCAGGGCTCTCGTCTTGGGAAGAGTCAGGGCTAGGAAATGACACAGGACCACGTCCCCGAAAGATCTCCTGATATGGCACCTCATTACCAGGGGAAAAACGAGAGGCCAGCTCACAAGAGGACGCCTCCAGGTGTCTCCTTGCTGGTAAAACAAGGTTGTAAGTGCAGTCTCCTGCAGTGCATTGCAAAGTACAGTAGGGGTTCCCCATCAGAAAGGCAAGCAAAGGGCGAAGAGTGTGAAGCTGCCACTTGGGACCCCTGCATCCCACATCTGGGCCTGGGTGCTCCTCCCAACCAGGTGCCTGCTAATGGACCTGGCTGGTCTGCCAGCCACGTGGGTGAGTCATGTGGATGGAGTTCCTGACTCCTGGACTTGGCTAGCTCTGCCCTGGTTCTTCCTAGCATTTGGGGAGGGAACCGGCAAATAGAAGATTTTTCTCTTTGTCATTCTGCCTTTCTAGTAGATGATAATAATAATAATAATAATAATAACAAACACGTTAGGAAAAGGGAAAAGGAAGGGTATGGGAGGGGGCTTCCAGGCTGAGAACCCACAGGCTGTCCTGTGGAGGAGACCCCAGCCCCAACTACTGCGGCTAAGCCAGTGTGGCATGGGCCGGGCCGGCTCCCCGCCTGACACCCCACCCGAGCTTCCCCACACTTAGGCCATTTCCTGTGCCTTGAATCGCCTGTGCAAACCTCAACAGATGACTGACAGCCACAGCCAGAAACACACACCAGAAAATACAGCTTCAGCCTCCTGGGTATACTAAAGGACACTCTTGGGAACACACACTGTGGGTTGTCAGTGTGAGGGGCGGGGGCTGAAGAGGTCAGACCTCCCGGGACAGGGGCACAGGGGCCGCGGGGCTTGAGAACAGGTGGAGAAGTGTCTGTACTCTCCAAGCAGCACCAGATGTGGGTCAAAGCACCATGGGACAAAGTGACACAGCTGCCCTGGCATGACCTGGGGCCTAGGTCCCGCCCATCTCTCCCCCTGGTACCATGGGGACAGCAGCTCCCTACCCTCACAACCAGAGGGCAGCAGCTTCACTCCCAGCGGATGCCGGGAGTCCTTACCTTCCACCCCAGCTCCTCCTGCCTGGGGCTGCAGCTTCTAATAGACCTAACCCCAAGGGAGTGCAATGGCCAAGTTTCCCATGAGGGGCTGAGGCTGCCTCAGAGAAGCAACAGGGAAGCACAGGCCAGGCAGGAGAGCGGATGAAAGCCACTTCACTGGTGCCTCTGGCACCAGGTTTCATCTTCCGGGACAGAGGGCTGGTGTGAGCACGTGGGGAGAGAGCCATGCAATGCTAGTGGCAGTTGCTGCTGTGGTCTGAGGTCCTGCCAAAGTCATCGGCTGTCTTCCTCCTCAGAGAAGGTGGCCTTTCTGAGGCCTGTCACAGACACACCAGCAGGAAGCACCCCTGGCTCCAGGAACCCTCCCTACCGAGTCCCCACCCCGGCAGCTGTGCCGGAAGCTCCGTGGACCCGTGCAGAAAGGCAACAATTTTCCTCCTAGCGGTGGGGAGAGTCAGTGAGCGCTGACAGCAAATGCTGTCCCTGTTGGAGACCCCTTTTCTGAGGCAGACTCTCTCTGCAGGTGCCCCTGCCCCTGGGCCAAGCTGAGCTGGGACACAAAAGCCCAACACCCCCACATTCTGAAATGTGTACAAGGAGCATCTCTAAAAATAAATACAGTCCCCGCCTCCCATGCAGAAGAGGAGGGTTCTGGCTCTCAGTCATCCTGGGGGGCCTCTATGCCCCCTGAAGCCACAAACTGCCAGGGGTGCTCAGAGGCAGGTGCAGAAGGAGCCCTTGACTGTCCCCACTGGGGTCTGCAGAAGGAAACACAGAGACTCCAAGGCAGTGACGTGGGTTCCCTAGTTCTGGGAAGTAACTGGGCTACCCTGGCAAGAGGTGTCTTTCCTCCCCCGCCCCGCCCCCAGGGTTCCCAGGCTGCTGGCAGGCACTGGACACTTGCCCAAAGAGTTCAGGGCAAACGGAGCCCAGGATTCTGCTGGGGGCAGGGCGGTCATTGTGATGAGAAGCTGATGGGATGTGGTGGACAAGGACTGCGGGTGCTGGCAGGGCTGAAAAAAGAGGGTTCAGGACCCCGGTGGGACAGCACAGACATAAACCAGGCCATAAACCAGCCAATGGTGCATGGGACACACCTCAGAAACAAATGCTGAGTGAGGGTGTGACATGGACCTGAGGGCCTTCTGCGCCTTGTGAGGCCCTTCCCACGAGCTCCCTGGGAGGCAGTTACTGTCTAGGGGAGGAACCACCTCCCTTCCGGTAAGAAAGGAAGCAATGTGAAAGTTCAAGGCCCTGCTGGGCAGGGACTCGTGGGGCAATGACCAGCAGCCACACTCCCAGGACTGCCCGACAGAGAAGCTCAGCCGGGGCCCCAGCCTTGAGCTGGCGGCCACACCCACCACTTTGGGGGACAGCTTCACCAGAGCAGCCCTTCCGTGAGTCCCCTCCCAGCTGCCGAAACACCTAGGGAAGTGAGCTAAAACAAAACAAAAAAAGAAAAAAAGAAAAGCCAACAACAACATAACACTCTCCTTCACACTTGGAGGCCTTGGAGGCCTTTCCACAGCTAGTGAGCAATTAGAGGGGAAAACAGCTCATGGTGGCAGCCTAGAGGCACAGCTGCCAGGGAACAGCCACCCTCTGCTGTGGGTCAGGAGTGAGACAGAGCCAGGAGGCAGGGCTGGACAGGGCCCTCCCACCCCCTCCCCTTTGACTGGCCATCTCTGAGCCTCCATGGCCAGCAGCGACCCACAGCGGGGGCTGGGTCAGGAAATCTGTTCTCTCCCAGGAAGGCACGTCCACCATTCCGTCCACGTTCAGTCCACGGCTGCCAGCACTCAGGAGATGGACCCCTGGAGTTCAGGGCTGGAGAAGGAGGGGTCACCTCATTCCCATTCCACAACACGGTCTTGGCACAGAAGCAGAAGCTCAGGGCATGGGCTTATGGATGAGACACGAGCACAGGGAACAAGTCGGGCTGGAAGACCAGAGGCCACAGGGCAGACCCTGTGGTCCTGCTGTCATCAGCAGGGACAGGCACAGCCTGGGTTTCTCCCAGTGTGGGTGACGGTTCCCAGGGAATAGAGCCTGCGGAAATACAAGCCTGGCAATTCAAGGCCACTGAGTATGGCCCGCGGTCAGGGCCGGAGAGCAGTGGACCTGGAGCTTCCAGGTCCAGGAGCCACGACTTCAGGTACAGAACGCTGTCTGTCCTGTGCCTGTGTCCTGGGGCTGGGGAGGGACAGGCTGAGCCTAAGCAGCAAGCAGCCCCAGAGATGGGAGAACAACTTTTATCAAGTCTGGATTCAAAAGCGACCAGAGAAACATCAGCAGTTTCTATTTAGTGAAGATAAGTCAATATCTCCAAGAAGCATGATAAATAAACAAATCTCTCCCCACCCCATGTTAATCATATAAAATCACGTTTTTAAAGGAAGGAGACAGCATAGTACCTCTGCACCCCTAAACCCCAAAGACCAAGGCAGCCTGGAAGGAGGCCAGGCCACGCACAGACGGTGGTCCTACCTGCAGCTCTGAGCGGCTCCGTCAGCATCCCTGTCGCAGGAGGGACAGCTCACAAGGCTCAGCTGTGTGCCGGGAACCAGGACCCACGGGCCAGCATCCTGCAGGGAGAAGCCCAACGAGAAAGGCGGTGAGGCCAGGACCCTCGGACTGTTTCAGGCCGGCTGACCAACAACTCCGCAAAGTCGGGCCTCAGCTTGAGCAGCACCAGAGACTAGGAAGCCAGAGAGACCACGAGGACCAGGCAGGTGGAGCTCCTGACTCCACAGCGTCCAGCGCCCCTCCGCTCAGGGAGCCGACCCGGCTCCTCAGCACAGTGGGCTCTCTCGGCCTCAAACCCAGGTTTTCTCATCACGAGTTCCCTTGAGATGTGATGACTTCAGCCTGCAGCAGGGACATACGAAGAAGGAACAGTTCAACTGACCTGCAGTGGAGCAGCCAGGAGAGTGGGCCACTCCTGGCCAGAGGGCGCTAGGCTGACCGCTGAGTGGCCTGATGCCGGGGCCGGGGTGTGGTCTACCTGCCCAGCAAGTCCCTCAGGGCAGACTGTGTGAGTCCAAGCACCCAGAGGCCGGGAGCTTACACAAAACAAAATGAACAAGAGAAATGGATTCCCACCTAGGTCCACACTACAAGGCAAAGTACATCTTTGTTTGCCCACCTTGAGAGCCCTTGGGGCTTGTGGTGATTAAGGAGCTTGGACTCTTCTAGAAACTGATGCTTAATTGCAGGACAACCCTCTTTCAAGGGTTATAGCCAGGCACTCCGGCAAGGGGCGAGCAGATTCAACAGAGGCAAAAAGAACCAGACCAAGGATGTGGTAATGGCTAGAGATGACCAGTTAGCGGCCCAGACACAAGTCAGGGGAAAGGGGATTGGGGCTGGAGGTGCTAAGAGGCAGTAGTGAGAGGGAGGAAGGGGGATGGTGGAGGTGCAAAGAGAGCTGGCTACGCGTGGCGGTGGGAGGTGTGGTGGCAGCAGCCGCAGCTCTTCACACGCCCTCCCCACACTGCTGCACCCACATTCCCAGGGAAGCCTTGCTGGAGTGGGCCGCCTCCTCTTTGGGACTGACCTTCCGGGGTCGGGACTTCTTGGAGACCTGCCCTGCTCCTGTGTCCACAGCAGTGGGACACAGCCCCATGCATGCTGGAACCCAGGGCGCACAGAATCAATATCCCAGGTTTCCCCCTGCCAAGTGGCTACCTGCCCCAGGTGGGCCTGGGGTTGTCTCATCCACAAGAGGGTTGGCCATGGTAACACCTGGTCCACAGGGAGGCCCTGAGCCCCCTCCTTAGCTGGACACCTCTCTGTGTGCAGGTCGGGGTGACGCACACACTGCAGAATGGGACAGGCAGGAGCTAGAGGGAAGACAAAGGAGGTTCCCTGGGTGCGTGGGTTCTGTGGTGCAGGGAGGTCAAGAGTTCCTTGCTCCCGCTTTTATAACCCAGAAAGTGAAAGCAAGAATCAGGTGAAAAGATCAGCCAGCCCTGAGGGCAAGAAGCAAAACAGCCACTCAGGTCTGCCCCCGACCCTTCCACCTCTGCCCCCACTCCTCCCACGGCAGAAGGAGTGAATCAGCCAGCGGGGAGTCCCGCCGCCCCTGGCCAGGAGGTTCAGGATCAACAAAGACTACACCTGCCAAGTTTCACATCTGAATCCTCAACAGGCCTCTTCATTTAGAGGACCGCGGGACAAAGAAGAAAGATGCACAAAGATGCGAGCCGCCTGAGTTGAAACCACTTTCCTAAAAATTCGAGATCCCCGACTCCGTTTCAGGCAGTGGAAGTGACTTCGCGAGTGAATCTGTTTCTGTGTGTGTCTTCTATTAATAGAATATCAGTCTCTCCTCATTCCCACTAAATAAATGTCAAACAAACACTTCAAGAATACCGGTTTCATAGGGTGCCAAGTTATGAGCTTGCCCAGACGTCCGCCCGCCTCAAGCTGGCCACTGCAGAAAGCCTAAGTTCCAAGCGAGGAGGCGGTGCCACCATAGCTCGGAGCTGTCCCGGTTGACGTGGAAACCAAAGCAGGTGGCTGAAGAATGGCCAGAGGGACCGTCACATATGGCAGGTGGTGCCAGAGCAAGCATGCCCGGGCCCCTGGGACTCCAGGTGGAGACAGGGCTCCTGAGCCTTAAAAACTGAGATACAGTTCCACGCCACGGAGTCCACCGTTTCCAACGGTGATGGTCATTCATCAAGTCACGAGGCTGTGTGGCCATCACCAGGATCTAATTCCTGTTCCTTTTCAACACCCCCTGAGGAGCCCCTGCACACACCAGCAGCAACTCCCCACCCTCGGCCAGCTCTCCCCCCAACACCTGGTAGCCAGCACTGGTCTGCTTCCAGCCTCTACGGGTTCAGTTATTCCAGGCACTTCGTACAAAGGGAAACACAGTATGCATCCTTTTCTGTCTGGTTGCATCCACTTAGCATCACGCTTTCAGGACTGCTCCGCCTGGCAGCTGTTATCACAACTTCATTTCCTTTTATGACCAAACAAGAGTTCATTGTATGCTTAGTTCATGCACAGTGTGTCCATTCACCCTCTGGTGGACAGACAGAGGCTCTCTCCAGCTTCCGGCTATTGTGAGCGCTGTGGTGACCGCCGCTGTGTGCCTGTGTACTTTTCATTCTTTTGGGAATACACCTAGGCATTCCTCATTTTCAAATAAAGTATTATTTGGAGTGGCTGCATTGCAAAAGTAGTAGAAACGCCAGCAGGGAAGCCCATAACCCAGACGGACATGCCTGGGTTCAAGGCCAGGCTCTTCTTCCAGCGACAGCTTTCTGCTTGCACACCTTGGAAGACACAGGTTAGTGGTTGAGCCCCTGATGCCCAGGTGGGAAACCTGGATGGAGTTCCTGGTCCGTGGGTTCAGTCGTGATGGGCATTTAGGGAGTGAATCAGCTGATGGGAGATTTATTTCTGTGGTGCTCACTTTGCCTCAATCAAGTAAAGCATCTATACTTTGAAAACTCTAAGATTCAAAGGTGGGACGGGTCCAGGTAGAAATGAGATTCTCTCCTGTCCCTGGGACACAGCACCCAGTTCCCCTGCCCAGAAACAAATCCCAGTTTCTCGTTGATCCTTCCAGAAGCAGCATATGCACACACACACACACACACACACCCCTGCTGCCTCTGGAAGGCGGCGTGCAGGCAGGCATGTTAGCACGGCAGTTATGATGCCACTAGGAGCAGCCATTCAAAAGCAGATGCCTGGTTCCAGTCCCAGCTCCACTACCAACCCCAACTTCCTGTGAATATACACTCTGGCTGGCCACAGTGGCACGCACAGGGGACACCCTGATGAAGTGCCCAGCTTTCAGCTTTGGCCTGGTCCAGGCAGGCTGCTGCAGACATGTGGGGAATGAACCAGCACATGGAAGAGCCTAGTTCTCTCTGTCTTTCAAATAAATAAAGATCAAGTGATGGACTGATTAAAGGTAGCTTACCTAGGAGGAGCCTGTCAGATCCAGCCAGAACCAACCTAGACACAGGCCATAGTCCAAGAATTGTGTCACTGTTGTCCATGCACCTCTGGGAAGCCACTTGGTCTTGAAGAGGCCACAGAACCGAAAAGCTAACAGGATGAGGAGGAGGAGGCCCAAAAGCAGCCGGGGGTCTAAGATCAGGCTGTGTTGTGTCCTGGCTCCAAGGCCTTCAGGGAGCCGCTGACCCTCCCCAGAACACCCCATCCCTGTCTAAATGAGCACTGACACTAGTAACCGACTTCCCGACACTGCACCAAAGCGCCCAAGAGTTAACACCAGCAAGTGCTCCACGCTCACCAAGCCTGGTACACGGCGAGTGCTCCACGCTCACCAAGCCTGGTACACGGCGAGTGCTCCATGCTCACCAAGCCTGGTACACGGCGAGTGCTCCACGCTCACCAAGCCTGGTACACCGTGAGTGCTCCACGCTCACCAAGGCTGGTACACGGCGAGTGCTCCACACTCACCAAGGCTGGTACACAGCGAGTGCTCCACGCTCACCAAGCCTGGTACACGGCGAGTGCTCCACGCTCACCGAGCCTGGTACACCGAGAGTGCTCCACACTCACCAAGGCTGGTACACGGCGAGTGCTCCACGCTCACCAAGCCTGGTACACCGAGAGTGCTCCACACTCACCAAGGCTGGTACACGGCGAGTGCTCCACACTTACTACTACTTTCATTACCCTTGCCACTTCATCCCTCTGAGCTGAGCTCATGCTCTCATACCTCGTCAAGGCACACATACATGCGCACACAAACTACCCCAGGAAAAGGGGCCAGCATACAGCCCTGAGCAGCAGAGGCTCTGGGAAGTCAGGACGGCTGAGCTGCACCCCCACCTCTCCACGTGCTGCCCCTAGGTCCTCCCAAAAGGCCAGATCTCCATTCTACCATCACCCACAAACAGCCCCCAAGTCCTCTGCCTATCAGGCCAAGTGGTGGCAAGAGCCTTGTACCTCGGATGCCAAGCCTTGATCAGGCAGGCTATATTTCTGATTTCTGCATCTTTTCCTGCCCTCCCCTTTTAGCATCTTCTGTCTGCTTTTTCCACAAACATTCTCCTCTCGACCACAGCTGCTCTTGCTGAGGCCCAGAATGGCGGGAGGCAGCAGGGAAGCCCTCAGAGACCTTGCAGGCGGAGAGCCCTGAGCGAGAAGCGCCAGCATTAGCAGGCCCATTAGGAAGCTGTTAGGGACGACTTCTCTCCCAGCTGGGAAATGGCAAAGGCAGGGGGAGGGTAAGAGCCAGACCTGGGGAAGCAGCTGCACAATGCTGCCTCAGGCATGCACAAGTTCATGGAGAGAAAAAACTCCATACACACACACACCCCAGAAAGGGAGTATTCTTAGCCTGCAGCAGTTGGTAGCATTATGTAAAGTCCCATGCCCACAAAAATATCATTTGGATGATAAAAAGTCAAATTTAGCTAAGTACAGAATGACTAATACTATGAGGGAGGGGCAGCACCCCCGGCTGCCTGGAGCGGATGCAGCTGGCTTTTAGACTTTTGACAAGCAACCGGGGCCTGGTGCGGCACACAGAATGACAGATTATGTAATAAGAGGCGCAAGCAACAGCAACCCCCAACACAGGGCGAGC